TATAAAGACTAAACAAAGTTTTGTGGTGAAGAGTTCAAATTTAAGAAAACATCATTCTCTTTTACAATGAGTTTTTGGATTGTGAAGTAATTAAAATCATTTAAAATACATATAAATTTGTATTATGTCAAATAGAAGCAATATTATTCTTTACCCTCTGAGAGTGCATAAAGAACATTGTTTAATCCAGAGTTTGGTCCCTGAATCCATGGTTAGGTTGAGAGGATACTAGCTGCCACTCCAGAACTCTCATTTTTCCCTCCTCTGAGGGTTAACAATCTTGAATTAGTTTTCGAGCAACTGGACCAAATTGTGAATTTTAATTTGTCACCTTAAAATCTTCAATTTTGCGCCCACCAAAATATATTTCCCTATTTATTTGCATGCAACCCCATGGACTACATTCTCATCCATGAAATTGAATATGACCCTTGCCTTGTTGTGGAAATCATAGTCCTTTTGGATCTTATGTGTCTTAACAAAGTTTAACATTTCAATATTTCAATTAGCCAGATCAAAAAATAAATGAAGATTAGAGTTTGAATCATCACAATTTATTGACATTTAAAACCTTTTATAACAAAATTAATTCTTCACAAAACTATATCTCATTGTAGGGAGAAAGATAAAGAAGACTACTCATAATTCATGAGAATGATACGACAAAACATAGATTTTATATATAGAAACAAGTTTACAAAATAAAGTAAGGAAAGAACATAACTTGTATAACACTCCTTCTCAAGCAAATCCTATGAAATTTCCTTTAAGCACTTTCTCTATTTACAATCACACTCAATTCTCTCTTAGAAATATAATGAAGAAGAAATCTCTCATCTTCCCTCCCCTCTTACAACTCTAGAAGAAAATCATCTCTTCTCCCAAGACTTCTCTCTCACGCAAACCTCTCGCCCCCCCTCTTTTTTTCCTTCTCTGAACTCTCCTCTTTTTTAATTACGACCAGCCTTCATTTCAAGAGAATTCAAAATTCTCTTATTTTTTTCCCAAAAGGCACACCTCTTCACACCAAGAGACAAGTCCCTTCATTCAAGAGTCCCTTCATTCAAGAGCCTTCATTCAAGAGCCTTTCCAAAGTTTCTATATGCATTGAATCACTCCATTGGTTGTTTGAATTGATTGGAGCATTCAAAAATCGTTCAAAAATAATCACTAACCTCCTTACTCCGTCTTATTTCATCTCTGGCACCTCTGGCGCCAACCTATTGAAGTCCGTGTTGTTCTAAATTCTAGGCACCTCTAGCGCCAACTCTTTGGAAAATGGCAGCAGGATGCCGAAATGCTTCATTTTGACTCCAAATTTCTTTTTTTTTTACTCAGTTTTGCTCCAATTGCTTAAAATTGATATACTTGCATCAAAACATGAAAACACCATTCTTTAAAGTGTAATATCACCAAATTTAAGCATAAAATGAATACATAAAATTGCACCTTATTTTGGTGTATCAGAGGTCGTGGTCAAGGACAAGATATTGGTCATGAATGTGGAAAAGGTAGAAGCTCCAATAATGACAACAACACAACAATCTTGAATGAGAAGGAAGTTGAGCAAGAGGGTGTGGAAGAGGAAAATCATGATTAAGGCATGATAAATTTGAAGTGATGTGTTACAATTGTAAAAAATTTGGTCACTATGCTGCAAAATGTAAAGCTCTAAATAACGATAAAATTAAAGAGAATGCTAATTACTTGGAAGAGAAAATTCAACAAGATGGGCATTTTGCTACTGACATATAAGAAGAACGAAAAAGGTGAAGATAATACATGGTATTTGGACATGAGCTCAAGCAACCATATAAGTGAAAAAAAAAAACATGTTCGTGGAACTTGACAAGACAGTGAGCAGCAATGTATCTTTTAGAGATGATTCCAAGCTAATTGTGAAGGGAGAAAGTAATATCCTTATCCGATTGAAGAATGAAAAGTACAAATTCATTCCTAACATCTATTATGTGCCAAATATGAAGCGTAATATCATAAATCTTGGTCAATTTTTAAAAGAAAGGTCATGATATTCGTTCGAAAGACAAAAGCTTTTCTATAAGAGACTTAGAGAAATGTTATGATATTCATTTGAAAGACAAAAACTTTTCTATAAGAGACAATAAGAGAAACTTAATTGTGAAGATATTAATGTCAAGAAAAAGAATATTTTTGCTCAATATTCAAAATGATATTGCCAAGTGTCTCAAAGTCTGCTGCAAAGATCCATCTTGGCCTTGGAATCTTCAATTTATGCATCTTAATTTTGGAGTACTGGAGCTATTATCAAAGAAAAAAATGGTGAGAGGTTCTACAAAGATCCATCTTGGCCCTGGAATCTTCAATTTATGCATCTTAATTTTGGAGGACTGGAGCTATTATCAAAGAAAAAAAACGGTGAGAGGTTTGCCTACATCAATCACTCAGACCAGCTATATGAAAGATGCTTGCTTGAGAAGAAATTCAGGAAGAGCTTTCCAAAACAGTCAAATTCGAGAGCGTAAAAGCCACTTGAGCTTACATACTGATGTATGCAGTCTAATCAAGCCGAGCTCTCTCAATAAGAGTAATAATATATTTCTTTTCATAGATGCCTTTTCAAGAAAAACACTTAGGTATATTTTTTTAAACAAAAATTAGACGTCTTTGTGGTATTGAAAAAGTTTAATGCCATGGTGGAAAAAGAAAGCGGTCTCGAGATCAAAGCTGTGCGATCTGATCGAGGAGGGAAGTTTACTTCCAAGGAAGTTTTTGAAGCCGATAGAATACATCGACCTTTGATTTTCCAAAGATCTCCTCAATAAAATGGTGAAGCAGAAAGGGAGAATCGAACTATCCTTGACATAGCTCGAAGTATGCTTAAGAGTAAGAGGATGCCTAAAGAATTTTGAGCCGAAACTGTTGCATACGAGGTCTACTTGTCCAATCGATCTCCAAAAAGAAGTGTGTGGGGAATGGCACCACAAGAAACATGGAGTGGAAGGAAGCCGATATCTGGTTGAGTGTTTGGAAGCACAACCTATGTGTATTACAAGCTATGACAAGAGTGAGAAGTACTTTTTCATCGGTTATGACTCCAATTCAAAAGGCTACAATTTATATAATCAAAACACTATGAAAACAATCATCAGTCGTAATTTTGTGTTCGATGAAGAATGAGAATGAGTTTGAGACCCATACAATGAGCACTACAACTTTTTTGAAGAAAAAAAAGTGGAGCAACCAAGGATGGAGCAAGAAAGAGATGAGCTTAATATACCACCAAGTACACCTACTGTAGGTACTCATGAAGACTCGTTATCTTCATCATCTTCAAGTGATGGGTCAAGCAAAAAGGTGCTGCGATTTAGAAGTTCATAGGAAATTTATGAGATAATTGAGAATCAAGACAATCTCACTTTGTTTTGTCTTTCTGCCAATTGTGAGCTCATGAATCTTTAAGAAGCTGCACAAAGTAAGAAATGGAAGTATGTCATGGATGAAGAAATCAAAGCGATCTAGAAGAACGATATATAGAGATAGCTGCACTTCAAAAATGACACAAGGCAACTGAAGTGAAGCAAGTGTACAGAGTAAAGAAGAATGTCAAAGAAGAAATCGAGAAGTATAATGCAAGATTGCTAGCAAAAAGCTGCAGCCAAAAAGTTGGCATTGACCATGATCGATGTAAGCATATTGATAGACCCTATCATTGCATCATAAGAAAGTATGTGCAAAAAGAGTATGTAAAGACTCATGATCAGATAGCTAATATATTCCCCAAGCCGTTTACATATGAAGATTGCTTGGGATGACAAATCAAGTTTAAGAAGGGGATTTGAAAATTAAAGTTGATTTAATTAATTGGGACTTTTTAATTGAGCCCATAATCTAGAAAGTCTTTAAAAAATTTTAGAGACTCATGTTATGATGAATATTTTAGAGAATTCTAGATATATATTTTAAATGAGTGATTTAGAGAATTCTAGAATATGTAATGAATGATTTTTGAAACCGGAAAAAGGAGAATATTTTAGAGAGTTAATAGTAGTCATTGGATTGAAATGTGTTGGCACAATCCTAATGGTGTTGTCACTAGTATAAATAGTTGTAGTGTGTTTGAGTTTTGCATCAAGACAAAAAAAAGCAAGAAGTGTAAGATTGAAATAAAAGTGAGTTTTTGTAGTGTTCCTCTTCTCTTTTGTAGTGTTCCTCTTCTCTTTTCATCTTTTCTTCTCTTATAATGATCTCTTATCTTCCAACAATGTGTTTTAGCATATATGTAAGACACATATGCATGTGAGTTTATTTCAAAAATGTAACATTATTCAATTTGGAATTGATGAATTGCAAATAAACTTTAAGAAATATATACATTGAAAATCTGAAGGGACCCCAAACAATAAGCAAAATTTAAATGAACACGAGCCTTTTAGATTTATCTCATAGAAACACATTGATTTGATTATAAGTAGAAAGATTTGAAATCGCTAAATTTTCTTAATTGAAGTGTCAAAACTTCTAAGTAGCTCTAATTTAGCATATTGTCTCATGATTTTAAATAGAAAAAAACATGATTTCTGTTGAAAACGTTCTCTATCAAAACCTGACTTAAATTCAACTTGATTAAATGCGCTTTTGCCTCTTGCGTACCATTATTCTCACATTCTGCTGTGTTCCACTGACATTTGAGATGATTCTTTTGAAACCAAAATGGTTGTTTCAACGACCCAAAGAATCTTAAAAAACTAATGTAAACCATCACCATTGCACTGGAACACAGATCCAATGCATCATTGTGATATTACCATAAAAGAAAGAAGGCAAAAGTGCATTGGAACACAGATCCAATGCATTCCAAAATAATCTAGCAAATGCATCCTCAAGAAAACCCTAAACCATCAACCGAATCTTGCAAAAAAATGAGAAAGACAATCAAATCAATGTTCGCGAGATGAAGATCGAGCCAAAAAAACCAACCAAAAAACCCAAAACCATCAACCGAATCTTATAGATCTCACCAGAGGAACGATCGAATCGATGTTCGCGAGAGAGAAGATCGGGGACGGAGAGGGTGAGGGAGAGCGCGAGAGAGATCACCCAAGGGCACGAGAGGAATTCGAGCCCTAAACGCCAGTCGCGAACATTGAACCCATCTGGATCCCCGCGTGCGACTCCGTAGACAAATAGTAGGCCGCGCTTCGCGAGTTTTGAAAGTGTCTGCCGAACATAGTTTCCAAACAGTTCGGCGGCATTTTCAGAACGCCGCCGTACTCAAATAAGCTGCCCCAAAGGGAATTAAATTGAAGAATTCAAAAACAAATAAAACATAGTGTTAATCGTGAGGCAAAAGCGCATACATGGTCGCACCTTAGTCGACGTCCAATCCAAAAAACTAATACAAAATAGATGAGCATGAGGACATGGATGCCCCACATCCACACTGTAACAGCTAGATTTATTTATAACCTTTGTTTCATATTTAATGCCTTTGAAGGCCTTCACTTATATATATATATATATATTACCCACTATAAATAAAGATGGGACCAAAACCAGCCATGCATGGCCTAACTAGTATTTACTGTCATGCCTTGGTGGTCAGATTTATTCCGTCCATCCATTCTAGCTGTGCTGTGAACCACGGACGAGTGCATCCATGAATGCACCATCAGTGTCCATCAGCACATACATAGCTAGCTAGCTAGCTCACTTAAGGAGCACATGCATTTGTCTACAATATAACAGCTATGAGCTAGTAATGAAGGGTACGTCACATATCCTGCATGGTTTTCTCAATTTAACATGTTATATATATATGGCAATAATCTTAAGTAGTGATGCATGCCATAAGATCCACGGTGATAGAGATTATAATTTAGTGCCCTAGCATTACACTTAACCCTAAAAGTAAAGTAAGCAAAAATGAGACGTCTCAATTTTTAAATCATCGCAAGGGAAAAATAACTATGGGGCCTAGCCCAATTGAAATCATAATTTATGTTGATTATAATTAAGTATATAGGTCCACTCTTCTCTTGATTAAGGGACTATGGAATTACAAAAAGATTTATAATGATATTTCAACAAAAATAGTTGTAACAGGCCGTGAAAACAACAGTGGTTGTTATAGAGACGTTAGTTAGTCCATCATGAATGTTGTAGATAGTAGCTATAGTGTCAACATTGTGGACATTGTATTTAAAAGCCATGGAGATAGTTGGCCAAGTGGGTCGTCGATGGTTCGACCGTGAGCATCGATTGGTCACAGAGGCCGTAGTGGGGAGCTACAAGACCTGTGAGTCACGTAGTCTGAAGTTGATCACATATGACATATTAAAATCAAGTGTAGACACAAATATAAACACTTATCTCAAATTCTCTCCACCAAATGCCTTAAAGTTTCTTTGAATTCTCCTCCTTCTCTCACAATACAAACTAACACTCAAAATAAAATAAAGGTGGCTGGCGGCGGCGGCGACAGCGGTAGACAGTGAAGTTTGATGGATGGTTGGCCTCCTCCTGAAAAATCTAAGTCTTTTCTTATAAATCCAAAGGGTGCATTGGTGTCTCTTCAAAAATGTGTTTTCATTCAATGAATCTTCTAGAAGTTGTCTCCTCATAAGTCAATTGAATGAATTTTTGTGTCCATAGGCTATTCCCACGTTTTTATCAAGGGTTGCTTCAAACACCTCTTAAAAAATCCGCTCAATTTAAATAATCCATCAAGTAACCACTTCTAGCACTTAGGTACCCCAGTTCATTTTTGCACTTTCTTCATTTTTGCTCCAAATTTAATCATTTTTCACTTCTTTTAGCATTTTTTATCCATTTGACTGTAACTGCAAGAAAAACACACAAATGTCTTTCATTAAAGTGTAATATCTAAAAAGTAGGTATAAAAATGTGTATAAAAACATTATATATTTTAGATGTATCATGTAGCTAGATTTAGATTAGTTGTTACTACTGGTGTTTTTTTGTCTTTTAATTTTATTGTATTGAGGCATAAATCTTACTCTCACTTTTCCTATTTTTAAACATAGTCACTACTTGTGTCTTACATTTACTATGTCGTTTCTTTCACCTAATGATTATTTTTCCCGCTTGTATTAAACTTTTTAATGTCATTCTTTTGTTTGTAAATGGTCACATGTGGTACATGTGGTCAACCACCTCATAAAACTCATGTTTTGAGGACACTTGAGATCACCTATCATAGCTGGAAGAGGAGTTCTTCTACTTCTATTGTTGCTTCTACTACTACTACACCTCCTCTGACACCTCCTCCCCCACCTGCTATTGCTACACCTCCTGTGGCATCTCCTCCCACACCCACTGCTGCCATTCCTCATGTAGCACCTGCTCTCTTACCTGATGATGCCCCCGTTTGCTTAGCCGTCTGCTGCTTCCACATCTACTCCCCAACTTGCTGGCGGCATACCCCTTGAACGTGGCCCGTCAACTATTGACTCCCCGAGGATACAATTACTGTCAAAGGGGGACTTGTAAGTTATTTTTAACATTGTATTATGTTTATTCTTCATGTTATATATTTTTTGTCAACTAACTTATTTATTGAGAAGATTCATTCCCCACAAACTTCCCGTTACCTGCATCACATAGATTATTAAGAGCAGGTATGATGAGCCTTATCTGCCATAGAAGCATATACATATAGCCGCTTGGGACTTGTGGTTCAGAGAGTTTGAGGTATGATCATTTAATTTGAATCAAATTTGTAAATTGGATTTAATTTTTATACTGACACATGGATTATTTTTTACGTTTCATAGGTCCTTCACATAACTCCCATAGCACCACCAACAAATCAGTTGAATCATCGAGATTCAAGGCAGACATAACCTTGTCGACATGTTCACGACAGTCCGTCGGAGGGGCGAGTGGTCTGCTTGGATTGGTGAGGTGCTCTTGGGTCAATTGACCGTAGCTTGGGCCTCTCCTGGTTATGAGATGAAGAGGCATATGAATCGGGCGAACAAGGCGATAGAGTGGGCCAAAGGAGCTGAGTTTCATATTGGCGAATCGGTCCCCATACGAAGCACTACAGGAGGCTGGTAAGATTTTTTTAGATATTTAAACATTAATTAATTCAATTTTTGGAGTAATTTTTTAGCACTAATCATTTTTGTACGCTACATAGGCCAAGGAGTTGAGTCATGCTCCCTCGATGGTGGAACTGCATGTTCGATCTCATCGGCATCCGAGGACTGTGCATTGGGTTTCAGAGCATTCCCGACGGGTTGCTGTAAGTTAAAAACCTTAAATTAAAAATTTATTTTGACTATAACTATTGAAAGTACCAATGAAATGATGGTCTTCATTATGTATGAGTTTGGCAGTTCTGACAGAACCACTTGATCACTCAGGTCCAAACTTCGACCAGCAGCAGTAGTAGTCAGTCTGCCACTGCGCAGTTCGAGTATGAGCTTTGGGCCTAGACGATAAGGAGGAAGAAGGGAAGGGTGAAGGGAATAATCTTCGACACCGAGCTCTCCCGTGGTTCCATTCTTAGCTCCCCTAGCTCCTCATAGCCAGATTAGGAGGCTCTTGCCAGGCAGGTGGTTGCAATAAATGAAGTAATATGCCAGTTGCGCGCGTAGATGCTTGAAGGCTAACATAGAGTCGAGGATTCTATAGCTCATATGACGGAGATCTTAGCAGATAGCCGGAACAAGTAACCGATGATATCGTGTGGTAGGAGGAGGAGGATGGAGATAAATAGTTTTTTTTTTATGTTTTCATTTATTTGTAAGCATTATGTTGAATATTTATTGTTGGTTTTTTTGGATTAACTTAACAATTCTTATTTGAGATGATTTGTGACCATATCTTCATTTTATTAATGATAGTGTTTAGAGATTTGATATGTGACATGATTATGCTTAATGTGTTTTGTGCTTTTGTTGTAATAGATATTATAATTTTTTTTTTGTGTAATAAGTTTGTGCCGGATTTGCGTTTTTTTTGGTGCAAAATCCAACGCTGCATCTACAATAATATTTTTTTTGGTCTACTTTATTTTTCAATGCAAATGAGACGGTAATCCGATGTTAATGTTTGTCTTCCGATATTTCAGACACAAATTTTAACGCATGTTTTGTATAAGCAAATCTAACGCTAATATGACGTAACAACCAACACAAATTATATATGTTGGAATATTGCGACGTAAATTGAACGGAAAAAAAACATCATTGACCTCCGAATTAACTGCGAAAAATCAAACAAAAATCATACGCAAATCCGACAATAACCCTTAAATTTCATCGAATTTGCGTCTGATTTAGCTGCCGCAAATATACTTAGTTTGTGCAGTGATTCCCTCAATCGGATGACATTCTATGAATATTTGAGTGCCTTAATGATGTAAAATTAAATAATCTTAGACTCTTTGAATTTTTCTTATTAAGATGCTCGATTTGACTATAAGATGACAAATTTGTAATCAATTTGATCTTTCAATTAGGCATTGAAAAATTTTCAAAAGTGATTTACTGACTTGATCAAGACTTAATGTGACTTGAATTATACCAACTTGTGCTCGTCTTATCAAGCGGGCCAGGTTGATTATATATTTCCTGAAATGGAGTTTTAGTTGGTTTTTATTTGAAATTCGAATATTATTTTTTTAAAAATTTTGTTAAGATTCCTGTCATATAATCCCACTACTTAAGGAAAAGTGGCTTTCTTCTACCTTATGTTATGTCCTGACCTAAGAAAGAGACTTATGACCGCATGGAGAGTGGGGACGCCTGCTCTTAATGTTCTTCTTTCAGCATTTAAAGCGTGGTTCTTTAATTTGTCACTGGTTTGTATGCTAATGCGAAGTTTAGCTGACCAGTACGAATTTGTCCTAAAAAAGTATTTGGATTTCAGATATTTTTTCAAGTTTTTTACAAATTAACTAAGTTAATTAGCAGGCTGATATCTAAAGCCAATTCATATGATTCAGTTATATATTGCCAGTTTTAATGAGAAGATAACAAATAAAGGTGCATATCTACCCTCTATTCAATTTGTGCCACTTGGTCACAGCAGCTATGATACCCTATATAATACATATTTTGATTTTCTTCATTATACAGCTAGCTTACGGAAAAAGAAGAAAAGAAATTAACTGAAGAGAAAGAAATAAAAGGTCAATAACCCCTCACATGTGATGCATTTATTTCCCATCTGCACATCACAAAATAGCTTGGAACTTTTGTTTGTCGGCTTCTTCCCCTTTTACTCTGCCTGGTGAAAATACTTTGTTCTTTGACAGGCATGCATGCGGTAAGTCTGCACAGTCATTAATACTATCACTTAATTTAATACTATCACTTAATTTTTTTTTTTTTCATGTTACAAGATTTTAATAGTAAATGTTAAAAATTAGCCGATAGTACTGTAATCGAACTTTCAGCTCTTTAAAAGGAGTCAAAAACCTTCAATCACGAGATCTCACCACCTTACACAATACCTTTTTTTTATCCTTATACAGTACTTTATCGTTTATTTAACTTGAATTTACTAATTTATATCCTTGAACAAGGAGCTGAGTATGTGATCTTCTAAAAACTTCCCCGTTTTTTATTGGAATTCCTTGAAACCTTTAGATGTGTATATCAGGAATGTGCCTCCGCGTATTAGTTGGCTCATGAAGCCGACCGAACGAAATACTCATTGATTCGATAAACATTGCGCGGCGGCTTAGCCTTTCTCAACCAACATCTGTCATCACAAAAATTCAACATTAGAACTGAAGAATGTCTTTTTATTTGATAAAAATTATTCAGTCAGTCGAGTGATTATGGGCCCATCTAATCATTACCATATGTCCAGACCTAACATGTACAAGTGTGAGCCACTAACAGTTACAATTGCAAAATAACGTTAAAAACAATTACGAATGAAGAACGATGCCAATGACGATTACTAGGTCAAATATGTGCTATTCAGTTACAAATATTTAAATGTAATAATGGATTATAAAGTGTAATTAACATTCCCATTAAAGGAGGAATGATCATGTAAGCAGTAATGCCTTATGCAGAGGATTATAAATAGAAAGATCCTCCTCAAGAGGAGTGCCCGCAAGAAAAGTTTAAGAAAAAAAATTAAATATCATTATTGTCTTATTCTTGTTTTCTTCATTAAACCGACGTTCTATTTCTTGAGTGTGATCCACAAGAAAATTTAAGATCCAACAAGATGCACGTCAGTGGCTAGAGATTAGGATTTTTTTTAGGCTAAGAATATTCTCCATATATATTAAGACCATTTAACTTGAGGGAAACACACACAAATATGTATGTATGTATGTATTTTTGTGGGTGTATGTATTTATGTATGCATGTACATATATTCATGTTAAGTAGTAGTGCATGCTATTATTCGTCAAAATCCAATGAAAATTCATAGTTATTTATGTATTAATTTATTTAGCCAATTGTTTTTATAGTAATTTTAGTTGACAAGAACATTTGAATATATGGTCGTTTTGGTATTTTATTTGAATCATAAACTCTTAGTAGTTTTATCAAACACATACATACATACACAAACACACAATATATATAAATATATAAATATATATATATATATATATATGTATATATAATGTAGTTTAAGAGAACATACAAACAAAAATCGATTCAAATAATGTCATCAATTTCAACCACAAAAATTTTCTATGTTCTACATGCTGCAGAACAGTTTCTTCACCAAGTTTCCAATGATAACAACAGTCGAGCAAAACAAAACAAAGTATCAGAATGTGAAGTCCTCATAATTTCCTGCAAACGAAATTTTAATGAACTGAGCAAACATTTATCTAAATGGAATCATAGTATTCATGTGGTTTGGTAACACGTCTTCTCCGATAAGGACTTGAGTTCAAGCCTATACATGTGTGTGCCTGAATTAAAAATAAATAAATAAATAAAACATATATCCCATATTTCCTCAATTGCTTCCTTCTTAAATTGTTGTAAGAAAACAGAGTTACAGAAGCACAGTCCAAAATGATCAGGTTCAATGTTAAAACAGCTGACATAGAAACAATCCAACTAAAATTATTAATATTTACATTAGAATCAACGGCCAGTCACTTAAAGTTTGTCAGTAAGTAATACAGCTAGCTCATGTAGCAAAGCCTGTTCGATTCTTTCTCTCTTCTTTTAGCATATTTTCTGCCATCAATCTTAGTCCTGCGATGCAACTCTAGCCAGCATTTTATTTATTTTCTTAAATTACAAAATTTATAACGGAATCCATGTCGATCGGTCATTCTGAAACTGTTAAGATCCTAATTCACTGCTCTGAACTAAAGTCATCATCTTTGTTCCATCAAAAGTTACACAATCTAAATATATTTTCTATGAACCAATCGCCAAATGTTGAGGATTTAAATAAACAGTTCATGAGAGGCGTCATCAAGAGACAAATCAGGAACATTAATATTACTCCCGTTTCCTCCCCCATAGCAGTTCTCATCGAACAGCCATGTCTCTATCAGAGACAAAGGAAATCTTTCCTCCAAGCTCGGCTTGCTGTCAACCTGAAAGAGACTAGTCTCAGGAGAAACCATATGGTTATTAGCTGCGCTTGTTATTGTACCGTCGCTTGACGTTGAATCAGCCCCAACATTTACCAATTCGTTGACATGATGCTGAGCCGATTTGGCTGAGTTTTTGGGCGTTTTCCTTATCCAGTTCTCAAGCAGCCTTGATATATTCTCGGTGCTCGAAGCATAAGTAGTGGAGGAAGGAGGAGTGCTGCAGCTGTGGCTGCTGCATGAGGGCTTTGATTCATAAAGAAAGCTCGGTTTTTCCATGTATAAGGCCTCATGAAGAGCTTGCTTGGCCATGTTTATGTCTGTTTGAAGCCTCCTCTCCCACTGCCCTTTGACCATCGGTTTGTAATTTGAGAAACCGGAGGCAGGGAGGATGCCATCCTCATTTTCCATTCTCCTCAGCTTCTTCTTCATATGGGTGTTCCAGTAATTCTTGATGTCATTGTCTGTTCTCTCTGGGAGGTAGGAAGCTATGGCTGCCCATCTGATCATTAAACAATCATTAATTAATGATGATAGTTAATTAATAAATTACAATTAGTTGGTTTCGATCAAGTATTGAAAATGCACAAGTTGGTAAAAACAGTGTTTTTACCTATTCCCCAAGAGTGCTTGAAGGTGGATTATGAGATTCTCCTCCTGATCAGTGAAGCTGCCACGCTTAATCCCTGGCCTGAGGTAGTTGGTCCATCTGAGCCTGCAGCTCTTGCTGCATCTCGACAGCCCTGTAAATATCATTATATCATCCCATTAGAGAATTGAAGACACATTTCAAAAAAATAGAAAAAAAAAAAAGGAAAGCACTGCTTGACAGAAGGATCGATGGAAAAATTGAAGACAGGCTAGCCTTCAAATCCAACCATTTAGTGAGGTAGATGCATGATATAGAGATACCTACATATAGCACTAACCAGAATTTGTGGGAATAGCTTTCCAGTTTCCAGGGCCGTGCTCCTGAATGTAGGAGACTAGAATGATGTCCTCTTCGGGAGTCCACGGTCCTTTCTTCACTCCAAATTTGTCACAGCATGGTGGCCTCCCCATTGATCTGGACCCCTGAAGTTTAATCTCCTCTCTTTCTCTTCTGTTCTGTCTCTCCTCTGATTCCTTAATATATCCTTATAAAGGCTATAGCAAGAAGGTCAAGAATAAATAGTCGTAATACACTTCTGCTTTTGGTTTTTGCTCCTATATATATACTAGGGGAGGCGCTGACCACCGAGGCTAAGAAAAGCAATGACGACAGAGTGGAAGATAAGTCAAAGGAGGACAGCAAGGTGCATTTACTGTGGGAGTGAGGACCCAAAAGTCAGCTTCGTCTCTCTCTCTCTCCTCGCAAAGACGCGTTGCGTTTTAGAAGACATACATAGCGGAATACAACAAGACCTACGGACGAAACGCATTATATAAAGTTATCACCGCCGGGGTGATAAATTAATTATTACAGCGGATGCAAATTATAAAATTGGTGGAAGATTGCACTGCAAGTATCGGGCTTAATACTTTGACAAGCTTGTTAAAATTATGCGCTTGATTACAATATCACTGAGTTTTTTTTATTTTTTTATTTTTTTTTTATTAAATGGGATAACGAAGCATTGACCGACAGTTTTATTTCATTCATCTCAATCTTTATTGGTTAATGATTTAAACGTTTCCCATCAAATTTTAAATTGCAAACTTTGGGATAGATGAGAAATTAAGATGAGCAATTCGAAGGGGTTGTCTCACAAAAGATGACATTTAAATTAACAGTATATAGTAAATCACATAAATCCAAATTTACTGAATAAGGAATCGTTTAAATCCGTAAAATTGTTTGTCAAGTGAGTAGAATAAATCGAATAGCTCTTCCTCCAAATCCTATTAATCACATAAATTCATGGCTTTATTTTGTCCAAAATGAGTCTAACAAGATAAATCATGCTATAAATCCGTTGCCAGCCCCTAAAAGTCATTGTGATTATATCATCATATCGTACATATTAAAGGGGGGTGTTTGGCTACAACTAGAATTTAAGCTAAATAGCATTCATTAAATCTCATAAATCTTAATTTAAGAAATCCAAATGCTATAAATTCATATGTTAGCGTTGGAGCCTGATAGGATTTTTCGCCTATGCTTACCGCTCCCGCCTTTCGCTCCCTTAATCGCAAAACGTCGCGATCCAACCTCCTGCGAACAGCTTCGGCTCCCGGCTCCCGGCTTTCGCTTCAATCGCAAAAAGTCGCGATCCTTCACTGTTTCACAATAACCACTGCTCCCGCCTCCAGGATCTCGGAACGATGCCGCCTTCCGTCTCGTTTAAGTTGTGAACAAAAGAGCTATCCTTAAGGTTTTCAGAAGTCACGATTTTGGTATTCTTCTTCGGGTTTTCTCGGGACAGAGGAAGAGAAATGCAAGAAGTAGTTCCTTGCGACAGAAGGAAGAAGAAAGAAGAAGAAGAAGACTGTTCTCCCTTGGCTTATTCTTGGTGGATTGCGGCTGAAGAGAAATTGAGTTTATTTCTCTTGTAACTTTATCTTATTCGGTGTATCTCGGTGTAGAGTTTCTTCAGTGTATCTCGGTGTAAAGAGAGAATAGCAGAGAGAGAAGAAGAGAGTCAAGAGTCGAGACGATCGACTGGTGTAAATTTCTCAAGTAGTAAAGTCCTCTGCAACTCCGTTGACGTAGGCAATTTGCAGAACCAGGTAAATCTGTATGTTTCACTGTGTTACCGTTTTCTGATGTGAATTTTCTCGTTCTATTTTTCGCTTCAAAGATCATTCTCCTATTTAATTTATATACATATCATAACAACTGATATATCTTATCCCAACATCATAATAGTATTTGGCTTAAATTAAAATTAAATTCGTTAAGTTCTTTTATTGTATTTGGCATAAATCTACTCTTAATTATGATTTCCTTACTCAGCTAAATCCATTAAATTAACTTGATAATCGGATTTAGTAAATCCATATTTAAATTAAAAAAAAGTAACGGAAACCAAAGAAAATTGGATTTAATGAACTATGAATTTAATTTTTCGGATTTTTTTTTGTTTGGTTTAGATTATGTTAGATAATACGCAAATCTTGCCACTAAACACCCCTAAAAAATTCTGAAAGAAGTGAATGAAATTTAAGAGAGATGCATTCAATTTAATTAACAAATGATTTTGATAATTTTGAAATTGATTTATGGAGATGGGGCGGGGGGGGGGGGAGGGTGAGTGATTATGATTGATGGATTAATAATGATGTCAGATGAAAGAAACAAAAAGAGTTTAGTACAAAACATTTATAATTTATAAAGTTACATTATAATTATCAAAGGCAAATTAATAATCATATGGATCATGGAACACTACTTTTGTAAGGCGGTAGTCTGTAGATAACGCTAACGTAATGCATGTGGATCATCCTGCAACTTGATCTTCATTTATTTTATCCACTCAGCACAGAACTTTCTTACATCGCAATCAGATTGAACCGATCAACTTTTTGTTTTCATTTTTCTTTATGGATCAACTTGACATCAACCCAAAAACAGAAAGTCGGCTAAAAGTGATTAATTAACGTGTAGTTTAGCTTGAATGAAAGGGGAATTATAATTCGGCGAGATTCAATTCATGGAAGGAAAAAATGCGTGTTGTACGCGGCAAATGCATGTTGACAATGAAGGTTGGAAAGGACACATCTAATTAATTAATTATTTATATAAACATCAGGCATGGGAGTCCATAATACATGCACATATACTATAATGCCTCATTCATGCATGCATGTGACCTTGTCACAGATAAATATTAATTTGGGCACTGATAGAAAGTGAGTAGAGAGCCTGGTATTCAACTAATTTGCAACTTGTGTGTTATTTGTGGGTATTTACTTGGGACTTTTTTTTGTTATTTTATATTATTTTGAGGAGTACTAACAGAATGAAAGATTTATAGAGATAAAATCTATTATTAATGAAAGATATCATCATCACATGCACGGTACTACCTATTATCAATTGATTTTCTATCCCTTCGTTTGGAAAGTTTGTGCTAATCTCAAACTAATTTATAATTTATTCATAGTTTTATGTATGTCTTTTCTAGTAGATGATTGAAGATTAATAATTCTATAGAAGCTAATGAATTTATTATGACCATTGCACATAAAAAATGTGAATTTACTTATCTTAAAGAGTTGTAAAGTTTCATAAAACAAGAATAAGACATAGACGGATCCACTGTAAAGAGATATACAGTCGGCCCACCTAGCTGGATGAGCCAAGTCAACCTGGCCAAAATCGACCGAACCAAAAGGTGGGCAAGCAGGCGATGGGGGATCAAAGTGTAAGTTATTCAACTGTAAAGAAAGAAGATAGTGTCCAAGCCATCCACTGTGTGCAGGAAAGCCGAATCGATGTGATTAGGGCTATCAAAACGGCTTGTTGTTCGCGAACAGCTCGTGTTCGGCTCGTTCGCTAAGTTAACGAGCCGAACACGAA